CAAAACATCTTCTTTGATTATTCATGGGAAGAGTAAAACACACGCAAATGAATACAAAAGAGAGGACACCAGCTCTCAACATAGCCTTCGCCATGTTTACTTGCATCTTCAAAGTTTCCCGCCAGACACAGGTATACCGCGCGCTATTTGACTCACGCATGCGCAGACAAATGTCCCTGCTGTTATGTCCGGTACGAAACAGCCGTGAGTGCTTGGGCTGCCTGTGATTTCTTTTGTGCGAAAGAAAAAGTTTATGTTTTAAACTATTGTTTTTTTTTAAAACTTTAATAGTAAGCTTAAGAAAAGTGTAATAATTGTTTGCAAGAAAGAAATAAAAAGAATGAGTATGCATCGATGATATTTTGCTTACATTGGTTTATCATATAATTATCTATGAAATACCTATATTTTTCCATTTCGTAAACTTGATATCTTCACTAGTGAAAATAACATGTTATTTTCACTAGTGAAAATATCACATTCGAGGTTTCTCTATATAGTGGAAGTAAGAAAAAAGCTATTTTATGACATAATTTGCGTTCATATCCAATTATATGATAAACAGAATATTACATGGTTGCTACGCTCACTCGTGAGAGATCTTTTCAACACTCAAAGATAAAATCTGTATCTTTGGCGCCCATGTAATATCCTCTATTTATCGTTTGGGTTGTTTTCGAGCCTAATAGTCAGTTTTGGCTTCCACTTCTTCATGTATATTAATATTGATAATATGTAACATTTTCCTTCGCAAATTTTTATTGAGGTAAGGTAAAATACAGGACACACACACACATGTATATATATACACCTACATGTAATTACAAAAACATTGTCCAAGGAAAACAATTTTTGCTGTTTAGGAATTAATTATATTACAAAAGAAAGTGTTCAGCTTCAGTGGTCATCTTTTGTCTTTTAATGTCCTAAGTTCCTTAACTTCTAAATCTCAGGACAACGTTTTTGTAATTAGGTGTATACAGCTACACTATATTATTCATATATAGCAAATTAGCCTTAGAATTTTTTTTACCGTTGATGATATTTTATTTTTTTTTAGAAGTACTTATTCTGGACAACTTCAAAAATATATATTATATAGGCTAGATGAATTCTAAGAGCCCTCTGATTGACCAAAAAAGTGTGGTTTATGAGAGTATAAACCACGATTGTGCGAGAGGGATTTCTTGATTTTTGATTTCTGCTGAAGTTTTGCTCAAATAATAAAACAAGTAAATAATGCTCAGCTTGTGGTTTATACTCTGATAATTGCACGCTTTGCATTTGAAACACAAATGCTATGTGTGTGGCATTTGAAACACGTGAAATACCAAGCGTGCGTTTATCAGAGTATAAACCACGGCTGTTTTTATTTATTTGTTAAATAAGTCATGATATCCCATAATGTTAATATTGTCTTGATTATTGAGTACTGAAAGGAAACCATTGATAAGAAGTAATGAATTATGCTTTTTAACTCTTCGATTGCGAAGCAATCGAAGAGTTATTGGAGGGGGACGAATCTCTCACTCACTCAATCACTCACTCAGTCACTCACTTTCCTGTAAACTTGAGCCTGCGTTATTTGTGTTCAGAACTATTTATTTATTCTCATTGTTCTCTATTAATTTTCTCATNTCTATTGTTCATTAGTATGCGCTGCATCTATCCTAAGAGTAGACGAGATATAACAGAAATCTCTGTATGTCTATAAGCTTTGCAAAGTAATCCTTTTTCTTTTTGCCTAGAGCGCGAGTGGAAAGATATATCTTTATTACAAGGTATCAGAGCTATCAGGTAGATGTTGGGAATTGGCATGCACGATTATGGAGAAAATAGAAAACGGGTCTTTCCCAGCGGCATTACAAAGACGGAGAAAAAGAGTAGCTGGTCAAGATAGCGATGAAAGGCGCGTTTTACAGTCGCACTTTCAGTGCTTGTCAGGGAAAGACCCCATTAAAGAGGAGGAAACCATGTTCAAGATTCTAAGTGGGTATGCATGTGGCGAGATACCAGAAGAATTCATCCCGCCTACCAAAAAAAGACAGAATGTTGATCCAAATGTAAGTAATGACCGATTTGCTGTCACTGAGCTGGTATCAGTTTATACCAACTGCATTAAATGCGTGCTTTTTATGTGTACACCTCTTTTTTTTCTGTGGATCTTTTTTACAAATAGCTGAAGTCGCCAATATCGAAACAAAAATCGCGAATGAATAAGGTAGAAAAGCTACAATTAACTTCCTCATCTACCCCATGAAAAGTCATTCAACGAAAAGAAAAAAACAACAGCAACAGCAAAAGAAAACTGTATGTATCATGCACTGTATCATTATAATACTTTTTGTATAATGTTCTTAGGACTCGCTGATATCAAAAATAGATGAGCTTACACAGAGACTCCAAACAGTAAAAGACAAAAACAAAGAAATTATTACCGTGAGTGAATGAATAATATTATAGGAAAATAATATAGCACGATACTAATTTTTTGAAAATCAAAATAGGAAAATAAAGAGCTCAATAAGACTGTAGCAAGACTACGGAATGATATATCGCGTTGTAATGAGGTATGTCGTGTGATGCTTTATTAGTTCACAAGTGTGTGCCACCTGTTGACAGTGCAGAGTTGGGAGATTGAGCGCACTAGCTAAAACTATTGCCGGCACATTTCAGAACAATACCACCTTAAAAATGGACAACGAAAAGCTGATCTAGTTATATTTTATGGCCACTTTGATTCGTGCTTTGCCCTGTACGAGTGTTACTTGAATGTTTAGTTGAAATATATATAGTAAGCCAAAAAAACTATAAGTCAATTGGCTTCGTTTTCAGCTTTGTTTTGTCATATTTAGGCAATTGAAGTGGAAAAATCAAATAATTCGTTCCTTACCACTTCTCTAGAAGAAAAAGAGCAAGTAAGCGTTTGTGACTATTGGAAAATAATAAACTGTGACATTTAGCCAAATGACTTTTAAAAACTTTGCAGGAGACTCCAACGTGCATTAGAGCGTGCTGAAAAGGAGCTTAAAAAGGTAATAAAAGTAAATTTGGTTGAGCTGATATGTAATCCCAATGCCGGGTTGATAACAAGGTACCTTTTGATAGCGTCTGATTACTATTATATTTTTAGCGAAAATCATCGGGGAAAAAAGACGAAACCGGTGCTAAGCCCAGGGCTACGAACAAAGAAAAGGAAACAGAAAGTTGCTTTCATATTGAAATGGTGTTTCTGTTTTGAATGTGACAATGCAAGAAATCTATTCTCTACCTTGAAGGTAAACACCGCAGAGAAACGTCTTGAGCATAAGGTTGCTCACAATCAAGACAAAATCGACATTGGAGTTTTGGTAAGTAGCATACAATTCAGTCTTAGGCTTCCTTATGATTTTATAAATAAAGGTGTCTATCTAGTTAGTACGATAATGCTATGATGCTATGACAATCATGGCTGACTTAACTATGATAATACATAGGAATCAGAGCTCCAAACAGACAGTGTGCAGAGGAGTCATGTCACTGAGGACCCGGYAAGAAAACAGTTATGTATGTTCCTATTGAAATGCCATTCAGTACTTCATTTCTATTTATTTCTCTCACTAGAAATCGGCTACAAAAAAAGATCAAACCGGTAGGCACTTCGATTAATCATTGATTGTGTTATCTATTATTTAAGTCACACCATTTTTGTTTTGCCTGCGTAGCCATGCGTTCCTATCCCCTAAGCTAGAGTGCGTGCGTTTGAGAGCCTAAATTAGAAACATTTCTTTTGTTATCAGAAGACACACCCGCTTTAGAAGCGGAACCATCGCATGAAGATGATGTCGCTACTKTTTGGGTWAGGATCAGTGCAAACATTTTGTAAACAAAGCATTAAACCAATCAGAGGAAGTATTTTGGAAGTTTCATGTAAATCATTATGAACTTAAGGTCAAATTGAAYGGTTTGTCAATCTTCACTTCACTTGTCAGAARAATAGAGCAAGGTTTTAATACCATATGTAACAGATAATGTAATGGACTCTGTCTTTAATATTTTTAAAATGAATTTCGATAGTTTCGATGACT